GTATGCTTATTAAGAGTCGTACATAATAACTAATCACTTATTTTAGCTCCGGCGTGTGACGATGGTGTCACGAATGGAGTTGAAACTGACACTGATTGTGGTGGGGCTGGAGACTGTGACCGATGTGATGATGGATGGAAATGCCTAAATGGTAGTGACTGTAAGAGCAAGGTTTGCGACGGAATTACGTGTCAAGGTATGGCAGTGATAGCGAATATAAAATAGCTGATCGTTGTTTTTAGTTGCAAATTGTAGCGACAATGTGAAGAATGGAATGGAAAGTGACACAGACTGCGGTGGTGAATTTTGTCCACCTTGTCCAGATACATGGGAATGTAATTTTCAGTCTGACTGTGAGAGTCATGTTTGCGAGCTGGGAAAGTGTGCAGGTAGAGCAGCTGAGAGAGCCATAAAATAGTTCATCTTCTGTTTTAGCTCCTACTTGTAGTGATAAGGTTTGGAATGGAAATGAAACTGACAAAGATTGTGGTGGTGGATCGTGTCCAAAATGTGCGGTTAATATGACCTGTCAAGTGAAGAACGACTGCATCAGTGATGTTTGCACATCGTTTATTTGTCGAGGTATAATAGTTTAGGGCGATATAAAATAGTTCATCGTTTGTTTTAGCTCCTAGTTGTACTGATCAGGTGATGAATGGAAATGAGACTGACAAAGATTGTGGTGGTGGAGTGTGTGTACCATGTGCAGATGGTTTGCACTGTAAAGTAGCTTCGGATTGTATGAGTGGTGTTTGCACAAATGGAACTTGTCAAGGTATTGTCAGTGTTGGACTATTTGAAATACTTCGTCATCTGTTTTAGTTCCTACTTGTAATGATACGGTGAAGAATGGAAATGAAACTGACAAAGACTGTGGTGGTGGAACATGTCCAAAATGTGACAATGCGTTGTCATGTCGTGGTGATACGGATTGTGTCAGTAATCAATGTAGACAAAACGTTTGCCAATGTAAGTTCTATATGAATTGAGCTAGTATGTTCCATCGAGGGTTCCAAAGAGTCTTGATCTAATATGCGTCTTTAATAAGGAAAGCATGATAGAGCATCCTGGTTTTTAGCTAATTGTCTTGGTTCGCTGAAGTTTTTGTTAGTAGTATAGTTGTTGGGGAGCAGTATGCCGTGAAAGATTTTGTCTCAGTGGTTCGCTAGGTTTCTATCTGTGGAAAGATACTGGTTTTCTGGAGTCGCATCGCATTATTATCTACCTGGTAGATAATGATTATTGTTTGTGATAAACTTGCTCAGCAAACGTACTACAGCTCAATCTAAGTAGTACTTGAATCATGAGAAATACAACAGATTAGTCTTATATTCGGTTTCATAGAAGTAGAACATGAATTTTGATATAATATCGAAGACATTTATTGTATTTGTTGAAAAATAGTCGAAGGAGTGCTTATTTGTTCATTGTTTGCTGACAATCAATTTTTTCTCTTCGAGAAATTATTGTTGGAGTTGAAATGTGAAAGGGAATGGAATAGTGCAACCACCATAGAAATAAACCGATATTTGTAGTTGTCCACCGAATTATGAATTAGATAGCTCTAAAGAATACCTTAGATCGCTTAAGAATCCAATGTGCGGCGGAAATTAAATATTGCATGGCTAAGGGAACAGAACGAAATGATACAGAGTTTCGTAAGGATTTTTCATAAACTTTCGTGAAAATGCTTGGAAAACTATTTGTTGGTTGACCATCGCTATCTAGGAATGTGATTCATTCATAAACAGAAATAGGATTTATCTTTTGTCAAGACCATATCGTGGCTTTAACGATCGATTTCTAACATCAAACGAGTAAATTATTCTTCCTATGCTTTGTTTTTATAGTATGTTCCTTGACCAGTTTCACAAACGGCGACTTCGAAACGGGTACTTCTAGTGGTTGGACAATCGGTGGTGGGTCGCGAGCTGGTATTGATTCATCATTAATAAACCCATCAGACTATTTGCTAGGTGGTTCACGTTATGTTGCAAACATTGCAACCTCACATTCAAGTATTGTTACTAATGGAACTGATCCAAATATTAAAACGTTGATGCCAAATATCGTACATCGTGGTAAGTATTCGTGGCGTATCGAAGATTTAACAAATGGTGGGTATGCATCAGTCCTTAGTCAGCAAATCAATAACTATTACTGTTCTGACATTTACTTTGCCTGGTTGGCCGTTTTGGAAAATGGTGGTCACACTGCACCCGAGTCGGCTCTCATGATAATTGAACTGAAAGACATGACCACTAATGAGGTACTACTCTTGCGTCGATACAATGCAGGAGTAGGTGGAGTGGGAATCGATACTCGTTTTCTACAAACTGGTTCATTCTTCTATACACCATCTTGGCAAATTGAACAATTGTCCTTCAATAGCACTCGCGTAGGTCACAACTTCCGTTTAATTGTTTTCGCAGCAGACTGCAGCCCAACTGGTCACCAAGGTCGCGTCTATCTTGACAGTTTTGGTGGTATTAAGCCCTAGCCAACCATTATGACCTCAAACTTTGCTTTGACTTGAAAACATTTTTGTCGATTACATTTTTTTAAAATTTTTAATCTTTTTATACGTTATAGTTCTTCTCTTTCTGTTTATCAAAGCTTCTGAATCTTAATTTAAATTTTCATTTTTCAATATTCATATTTTTCTTGCTCAATCCTTCATATATTCTTATTCCAGCTTTCAAATTTTTATATCCTTCAATAAAGTACTTTTTTTTGGAAATTTTGCTTTATTCTAAATTATGTAGTTGTGAAATGAAATCATCGAATATTTTGAAATTCAGATGTGACTATACTCAATCAAGATTGATTCCGGTCTTTTAGAAGAATTTCAACAAGTAATGATTCTCGAATTACTCATGTTTTGTAAAAATAAAATCATTCAAAATCGATATGTTTATTGTCTTATTTCAGAATAATATTAGTTTAGTTGGAAGAGAAACAATGTAGAGATTATGGCGACTATCAGCTATCATATGTATCTTAGTGATTGTTTGTTGGAATGTTTGTATTGGTAGAATTTTAGTATAACTTTTTCATGCCTTTATTTTGACAATCACTCAATGATTGAGTCTTCGATGAAGATCAAAATAATTCTCATTTAATTTTATTCAGCTTTATTAAAATAATTTTGAGTTTTATTATAAATACTTGTTGTTCATGGCACAAGTTGAGAAACTCTGAGTAAAGCTGTGTTAAATAGTATCTTGGAGTGCATATTGATAGGTAGAAGTTGATCGCTTGATTGTATAGTTGAATGGATGAAATGATGGATAGGATATATATGGGTGTGGTCAGTGAAAGGATACCTCGATTCTTATTTGTTTATGTAGCTTCTATCAGTTCTCAGAAAAATGTGATTGTTTTCACTAATTATAGTACATGTATGATGCTAATGATTTGTTATTATTTGAGATCTATTATCTCTTTAAAATCAAAATCTATCAAGTATTTCTTTATAATAATTTTGTTAAAGTATGACGCATCCGATTTGTTAACATATATCAATTTTTGGCAGGAATCGTTTTGTGGGGAGCACCCCATTTTGCAAGATATGTATTTAACGTAAAGCTAGCTTCAACGGTATCATAAGATTCACGCCTCTACTATGATTTACTAATAACATAGATTGTTATAGTAAAAAGATCTGCTCAGATAGCAGAAGGCGAGTGGTTCAATTACTGCGAAGGGCATTTTTTTCTCTATTTTATCCATTTTCGCTGCATGTCTCTTATGACTCATATATGCTGCTTACACATATGCTTATCATCGTCTGTGAGACATTCGAGAGAGATTGTATTCTGTTTCCTTTCTCCATCTTTCTCTGAACGTCTTCTGACCCTCGGTATATATATTATTTCGTGCACAATAAGATTTCATTCATTCTATTGTACTTTATGTTCCAGTTACTTTGCCTTGTTCTAAGTACGATCATTTTTTCCTCACTTTTGTTCGTTCTTTCTTTTTCTTCCATACATTTTCTTTCAAATACAAACGTTTTCAAATTTGCACCATGTTCTTTCCACAAGTTGAACAGAATTGTTCTTAATGTCAACCTATCATGGCTAATTGTCAAAAATATTGTACTAACTGTCACTCGATGTTAGTCGGAACATGTATTGGTTTGTGAAAATCCTGATTATACACAAACTTTTTTCAGCACCCTGACAGTTGTATTTATTGTACATCGGAACTCGAAGATAAACCACAGAAAATGGAAGAGAAATATATTGTTATTCAATAACTTCAAGCCTCAGATGGTGATAAGTGATATTCATCCTCTTGGTTTAGACCTCTCCCTTCCATTTCATTATTTTATGTCATAAGACTACGCAACAAATGATCGGCATATGTCTTCCTTTATTTGCATTTTGTAGAACAACGTCCTTGGTCTGAATGGGGTCGTATTAATGTATCTTGTGGACAACATACAGGACATGACATTGAACAAGTACAATAACTGTATTCGATGTGTGAACAATCACTTATGAATTATTGCTTGCATAGACCCAAAGAAGAGTCTAATAATACTAACACAGCGTTTTTATCTCCTATGAATTTGCTGGTGGTGACATTATAGTACTTAAAGCATTATCATTTAGAACGTTATATTTCTACAGAATTAAATTTGAGTCGATCAACAGTCAAGTATTTCTTAACAGAGCTTATGGATATACTGTTTTTGTGTGTATACCAACAATTAATATCGTTATCTGCTGATATAGCTAGTAGAACAGTAAACATGGACCTCAAGAATACCACAAGTTAATAGTTGATTCAACTTTTATTGTAATTCCTGAACCTTATGATTCAAATCAACGTAAGGCATATTATCATGCAAAAAGCTCAACGAACTATGCCTTAAAAGTGCACATAGCCTGTGACTTGAATCATCACATAGTACATGTCTGAGACTGTTATCCTGGTAGTGTACATGATATCACGGTTCTGAGACAATTAGGATTACTGAAATATGCAGAAGAATCTGTCCAGATTATTGCTGATAAAGGGTATATAGGTGAACAATATGTAATTACTCCGAAAAAAACCTCATGGTCGTGAATTAGCAGATGAAGAGAAGGACTTTAATCGTGATATCAATAGTACACGAGCGGCTATCGAAAACATCAATCAACGTCTCAAAACTTATGCAATTTTGGGTAGTGTTTACAGAGAAGCTGTTGATGATTTCCATAAGATTACCAAGAGAGTACAGATTGTTTCTGGTTTATGTAATTTGAATCTGATTGAACATCCTATCCATAGGTATAGCTCATAATAAGTTAGCTGGTTTTCTTCATTAACTATATGAAAACAAAACTTTGTTGCTGATACTTCATTTTGCTTTAATTTTCTAAGCAAGAATTGATGTACGTTAACAAATTGGATGCGTAATACTTTAACAAAATGATTATGAAGAAATACTTGATAGATTTTGGTTTTAAAGAGATAATAGATCTCAAATAATAACAGACCATTAGTATCATACATGTACTATAATTGGCAAAAAAGTCACATTTTTTTTATAACTGATAGAAGCTACATAAATAAATAAGAATCGGGGGTATCCTTTGGCTGACCACAGCCATATAAATGTGCATTTCTTTTTTTCTTTTTCTCTTTTGATATGTATGACTCTATGTAGGGTTAATCGTTTCTGCATAAACAGAAACAATTTCCTCATCGATTGGTTCAACTGTCCACTGATATGTCTTCCGTTCAGTTTCAATACTCAACATTTCTCTATGATCGCTCATTCTAGAAATTTGAACTAGAAATATTTTCTTCACAATATTGTGCAAGAAATAGAAATTGGAAGTTTCGATTATTCATTGTTGGTGTTGGTAGGCTTACGTCTTCTGAATAACAAAAACAATCATTTTTTCTTGTCTTTCACTTGATATGCTGCATCGTATTCTATTTCAACAAAGTTTAGAGTGGCCTTTATTTTATCATAACTATTATAGCCTTGTTTTTTCGTCTTCTTCTTCTCCTATCACTGCTGCTAGAGAGAATAACGTCAAGCGATGTCAAATCATTAACTCAAAATTCTGAGCTCAGTTATTTTTCCCTTTTTAATAAATCAATTTCGAGTTCATGTTTTATAATACTCCGATAGGATTTCTTCAGCTTCTTCTCGTTCCTCTCCAATAACCGTGTTCGAATAATCTACATACCCCCACTTGATATATCTTTGAGTAACTTCTCTATATGCTGTCGGTAATCTGTCGCAATCTGTTTCTATAGTATTTTGAGGTCTATTTAAGATATTTTTCGGCAAGTAATCAGTATCTTTTGAAGCTAGATTCTCCATCTACTATTGAGATCTTTTTACATACTAGCAACATAGTGTCAATATGTCTTTCAAGAGGCTATCGAGACCTTTTCGCTACTTTTTTCCAAATAAGTACTAAGCTAGTTGCAAAATTGTTTGGACTATGCAACATTTCGGAAATGTTCTCTGAAATTTTATGGAGATCTTTTCAGGACTTTGTTGACAAGTAGTTGGGTTCGACCATCAGAAAATATCGGAATAGCCAGGGAATCCGATAGATTTCAACTAAAGATTTGTGAAAATCAGGGTTTCGTCAATATTCGACAGGGTCCTATCAGTTTTTTTTTTGAGAATTTGATAGGATTGATGGGACTGTGTTTCGTCTTGGTAGGATCGTTCGAATACTGCCGTCATCACTTGTTTACCCATTTCTGATTCTCATTTTCTCCTTTCCTCCTCCCCCCTCCCCCTTCCGTCATTCATTGTCGCCATTTCCGGAACCTTTCCGTTTTTTATGTCAACATTCGGCTACCGTTCTCGCCTCAAATGGCTATAGAATCAACCCTTTTCCGAAATCAATTATAAAACTTTTGTTGGTGCTCTTAAGGAAAATTGATCTTGAATACAAAGATCCTGACGTTTACAGCGTCATAGGAGGTGTGTGGGTGTGGATGTGAATGTGGATTAGGTGGAAGCAAAGACTCATACTCTCCCAGTGTTATTGAACTTAGCCTGATCGACAAACATAATAACAATCACGGTAGCATTGATGATTAAATTAACATTACACAGCTTGTTAGAACGGACTTTAAACATATTATTCTAGTTGAATGTCGATTTAGGCCAGACTTTATAGATCGTCCATTTTATCAATACTTTAATGTTAGTAATTGATGTTTTTAAGAAAAAAAAATATTATTAAAAAGTACGATGAGATATTTCTATTAGATCATTCAAAATTTATTATTTTTTTATTTTAAAGCCATATCGTTTTAGTTTATGATAACTTCTCAAAATATTGCCAACACTTTTTCAATACTGTTGATATGCAAATACTTCAAAAAATATTATAAATATTCCCACACTTATAAGTTTATTATCAATTCAACTTTAATTCGAAAAAATAGATTGAATTTATCAAAACGTCTATTAATTGGTCACGTTATTGCTAAAGGATATTTTTCAGCTAAAGGAAGCTAAATAATTGTTCAAATGCATCATTAGGTACAAAGTTCTATGGAATTCATATCAAACCACGGAAACTAGTAGCTATTTCTTTTTCGTTCAATATTATTTATTTACACCTTGTTTATCTATATATCAAACTTGATACTAATTGTCCATCCAATTTGTATTTTTTTTTTCATATACATTTGTATATTAGTAGATTCTTTTTTCATATTCTTCACATACCTTTGCATATTAGTACTTATGATTCTTTTTTTGTTCTCCACATATATTTGTATGTTATTTTTCATGATTCTGTTTATTCTCAATGTCACATTTCTCAAACAAGTATATGTGAATGAGTACATGTTACACATATTTCTTTCTCTTCGCAACTTATCAAAGTAGTCTATGTTTTTCTTTTTCTTGCTCCTGTGTTATGATAATATTTTGTACAGAATAGAAAACATTACTTACACATGAATAGAAAATGACAAAGGAAAAAAGAAAAATAAATACTTATTCATGTGACAACTAACTGACGATAGAATCGACATTAAAAAAAGTATTCGACATAACTTCCTAACATCAACGAAATGATTTAGAATATTAAATAATTTAGAAGTAGAAGTGGATCTACTTTCCTTGATTATTAATTATATTGTTTATATTCTAACTCTCCTAATATGAGTATATCGAAAAAATGAGGAACAGAATGTTGAAATATGTAGAGGTATTTTTTTTATTAACAGCATAGATATGCCTCTTTGTGTGCATTTTTTTTTTGTTAATAGTTTAATAGAATTTATTATGTACAAGCATATTTTATAATAGTACGAAAAGAAAACAACAAAAACAAGATCGAAGAAAAGCATTAAACATGTGTCCATGATATATACCATGACTAGAAATATAATACAAAATATATACAGCTGCATGATCAAAAGAAAACTATTAACATATAAGTTGTAGTTTTTATGTATTAATAATTTGATATTGTCGATAATGACGATATGGTGGTTGTGTTAAATGATTATTTGAAAAATTGATCCAATATCAAGGTTGTTTTTTTTTCATTATTATTGTTATTATTATTATTCGATCGATGGGTTTTAGGCCAAACATTATTGAATGAATCAATACCATTATCCGATATGTGTTTAGATGACCAGCATCGATAATATTTTAAAAAACGATGATATTGTTTGAGAGATAATCGGTTTTAGACATTTGCTTATAGTGATTTCACTTTTCGATTCTATAAATGATAGAAAGGTGTTGTTCATCCAACATGCAATTTAACCAACTATAATAGAAGCTGACTTCTCCGGGCTTTAACAGGAAAACTAAATCAACTATATTATATTAAGTACAAAATTGGCATCGTTTTCACAGTATAGTCCTTGACCTTTTCCTGACACACCTTCAGTAACGTTAAAAGTTATACGATTTTGTAGCGCGTTAAAAATGCTATCTAATCAGCTAGAATAGAAGTTGACTTATTCGGATTTTGTAGGTTGAAAATTGATCTGAAAGACAATGTATCAGCATCATGTATTCTTAGGGTAACTCTCTCATACTTTGCAGTTGTCTGGAACGATATATTAACAAGTTGACTTTCGGATACAAATATAGCCTGAAGCTCCTACTATCGAATGTACTCCGAAGCATTTTCGATTCTTTCTATACTTATATGGAAAAGAGTTTTATTTTATATACGTGTATCATCGAGTTCAGGAGAAAATTTACCATATCTATATGATCAATATATGCCTAAGGAAATCCTCAAATGTACCTGAAGTATAGATCAAATCTAGTATCGAAGTACTTGGAGATCAAAGTTCTTGCATACTATATATGATTGTGCTGGATTCAGTGTGAAAAAGTTCTATGGGCCAAATCACGTTCTTATGCACCCCTGTTCTTTCTGAGATCATTGTTGGCTGGTGACACTCAGTGTATAGTGATGACTATTCGAACCAATAAAATATGTATGAAATGAAAGAAAAAAATGATCA